GGTGCTTCCAAGATCGCTCTGAGGGCTTTTCTGTCAGCCAAGGGCAATGGGTTGATAAACTCAGGGTCCACAGCAGGAAGAGTTTCGGTGCTTCAAAGAAAACACAGTGTTCAGATCTCCGAAGAGGGATCCTAGAGCCCAGAGTTCCCCACGTGAACCCAAGTGAAGACCCAAAGGCCTCCAAGCCTCATCACCTTATCCTACCATGTTCCTGAACAGCATGGTAGCAGTGCTGGCCTTCGGAATGATGAGGCCAACGCGAGCCAGGAGACTGCTCCTGCGCGGGGTTTGGGCCCAGGACTACCTCGGATCTAGGCTTGTCGTCGCTGTAACTGGTAACACTGGGCCGCAGCTAAGAACACGGCAGGGTGGCTACCACAGCACCTGCCGCTTCCGCGTACAAGCCGCCAGCTAGAGCGGATGTGCGGCAGCAGCTGCCGGCAGACATGGACAGAGAGAACAGCGGGAGTTGAAATTCTCATAATTTTAATGGTCAATAGCTTCTGGTGGGCTCTGGATGGTACAGTTAAACAATAGACTTAAAGACCTCCCCCAAAGCACGTCCACACCCCCTCAGCAGCGTCTGCCTCCGTCAGCGTTCCACTGCCCAATCGGACTTCCACAGCCTCAGACCCCCCCTCTTGGGTTATGGAAATCCACATCTTAGTGTAATGAGCTGAAAAACCCTGGGTACACCCGTGATCTGTTATTTTTTAAAAAATAACCAATATTAAGCCAAACACCTTCCCAGGCTCTGCTGCCTCACAGAGTGAGAAACGTGACTGTGGCGATCTGAAGACTCTGTTGTCTCTTGTGGGCCAGGTGGTTTTTGCTTCGCTCCCTGTTCTACTGAGATCATACGGCATAGAGTTCGTAAATCTTCTTTACACAGTACACCAGGGCGGCCAGTGCTATCGTGTTGTGCAGTCTCTTTCTGTGCAGGTCGTCCTTCCGGACCAGCACCACTGGGGTGGAGGAGGTGAGTGTGTGCAGAGGCAGGCGCGACAGTTTATAGGCGTCGTACTCCACTTGGTACTTGCAGCAAGGGTCAAACTGCCAGGAGATCCCATAGAGGGTGCAGCAGGCCAGGCTCAGCACACCAGCGGGCAGGGAGATGTAGTGGGAATAATCTAAGGGCAGAGCCAACGGGGTGAAGAGGCAGGCGGTGCCCGCCAGCACGGCCGTCTTGTGCAGGCAGTTGCCCACGGTGATCCAGCGGGCCGTCTCGTCGCCGATGCGCGTGGGCTCAATCACAATGTACTTGTACTGGGCTTCCAGGGCCTGCTCCAGCTCGTACTCAAACTGGTCTTGGGCATTCTCCCCATTGTAGATCTCGTGCACAATGTAGCAGTCTGTGGCCGACAAGCTCACCCTTTTGACGGAGGGGGCAGGAGAGGGAGAGAGAGAGAGAGGATGATTAGGCTGAGCAGCACTTAACTGTGTTTCGATGCTGGGGGAGGTCTGAGCCTGCACTGCGGAGAGCACATCTCCCTGAGGTCCTTATCTCCTTCAGATCCCAACACAAGACAATCAGTAAAAAGTACTTTTCCTGAAATAGTGAAAGAAGCCTGGGCGCAGTGGCTCATACCTGTAATCCTAGCACTTTGGGAGGCCGGGGTGGGTGAATCATGAGGTCAGGAGTTCAAGACCAGCCTGGCCAACATGGTGAAACCCTATGTCTACTAAAGATACAAAAAATTAGCCAGGTGTGGTGGCGCATGCCTATAATCCCCGTTATCTACTCGGGAGGCTGAGGCAGGAGAATCATTTGAACCTGGGAGGCAGAGGTTGCAGTGAGCCGAGATCGTGCCATTGCACTGCAGCCTGGGTGACAGGAC